TGGGCCTCTCACTGCTGTGGCCTCTCCCGTTGTGGAGCATAGGCTCCGGACGCACAGGCTCAGCGGCCATGGCTCGTGGGCCCAGCCGCTCCGCGGCATGTGGGATCCTCCCAGACTGGGGCACGAACCCGTGTCCCCTGCATCAGCAGGTGGACTCTCAACCACTGTGCCACCAGGGAAGCCCCCGATTTTGTATTTTTAATGACATATTTAACATCTCCAGGTTTATCTTTTAACTGTTTATTGTAGTTATATTTGCTTTAACAATTTTTTGTCTTTTAATCTTCATTTTGGCTTAGTTAAGTAGTTGACCCTCAGTCCTTACTATATATTTGTTTTTCCTAGTGGGATTTCCCCTTTCCTATAGATTCTTACTTCTTTTCCACTTAGAGAAGTCCTTCTAACATTTCTCTTATGGTAGATTTAGTATTGATGAACTCTTACTTTTTGCTTTCCTGAGAAGTTCTTTATCTCTCCTTCGATTCTAAATGATAATCTTGCTGGGTAGAGTATACTAGGTTACATGTTTTTCCCTTTCAGCACTTTGAATATGTTATGCCACTCCCTTTAGATCTGCAAAGTTTCTGCAGAAAAATTGGCTGCTAGCCTTATGTGGATTCCCTTATACATGACCCTTGTTTTTCTCTTGCTCCCTTCAGAATCCTGTCTTTATCCTTTTTTTGTTTGTTTGTTTGTTTTTGGCCATGACCCAAGGCATGTGGGATCTTAGTTCCCTGATCAGTGATGGAACCCATGTCCCCTGCAGTGGAAGCACAGGGTCTTAACAACTGTATTGCCAGGGAAGTCCCTCTGTCTTTAACTTTTATCATTTTAATTTTATGCCTTTATGTGGGCCTGTTTGGGTTCATCTTGAGACCCTCTGTGTTTCCTTTATTTGGATATGTTTCTTCAAGTTTGGGAAATTTTCAGCCATAATTTCCTCAAATATATTTTCTTTCTTTTTTTAAAAGTTTTATTTATTTTTTTAAAAAGTTTATTTATTTTATTTATTTATTTTCGGCTGTGTTGGGTCTTTGTTGCCACATGTGGGCTTTCTCTAGTTGCGGCGAGCAGGGGCTACTCTTCATTGTGGTGCACGGGCTTCTCATTGCGGTGGCTTCTCTTGCTGCAGAGCACAGGCTTTAGACATGTGGGCTTCAGTACTTGTGGCACGTGGGCTCAGTAGTTGTGGCTCGTGGGCTCTAGAGCGCAGGCTCAGTAGTTGTGGCACATGGGCCTTGTTGCTCCGTGGCATGTGGCATCTTCCTGGACAAGGGTTCAAACCCATGTCCCCTGCATTGGCAGGCGGATTCTTAACAACTGCGCCACCAGGGAAGCCCCTCAAATACATGTTCAATCCCTATCTCTCTCCCTTCTTCTGGGACCTGTATAATTCAAATGTTGGTATGCTTAATGTTATCCCAAAAATCACATAAATGGGGACTTCCCTGGTGGCGCAGTGGTTAAGAATTCGCCTGCCAATGCAGAGTACACGGGTTCAAGCCCTGGTCCGGGAAGATCCCACATGCCACGGAGCAACTAAGCCCGTGCACCACAACTACTGAGCCTGCACTCTAGAGCCTGTGTGCCACAACTACTGAGCCCATGTGCCACAACTACTGAAGCCTGCATGCCACAACTACTGAAGCCTGCGTGCCTAGAGCCTGTGCTCCACAAGAGAAGCCACTGTGATGAGAAGCCTGCACACCATAGTGAAGAGTAGCCCCCTCTTGCTGCAACTAGAGAAGGCCTGCACACAGCAACGAAGACACAACGCAGCCTTAAATAAATGAATAAATAAATACATAAATAAATATTTTTTTAAAAAGATCACATAAAGGTTATCATTTTTAAATTTTTCTTTTTCTTTTGCTGTGTGTGTGTTTTTTTAAGCCTACAGCACCCAGTATTTCCAGGCAGTCTCTCATTCAAGTACTAACCAGGCCTGACCCTGCTTAGCTTCTGAAATCAGGCACATTCAGGGTGGTATGGCTGTAGACACTTTTGCTGTTCTGATTGGGTGATTTTCATTAGTCTATCTTCCAGATCCCTTATGCATTCTTCTTTGTCATTTAGTCGCTATTTCTTCCTTCTAGTGTGTTTATTTCAGCTACTTAATTCTTCAATTCTGTTTTTTTTTAATATTTTCAGTTCCTTGTTAAAATTCTCACTGTGTTCATCTATTCTTTTCCCTAATTCAGTTAACATTCTTATTTCCAGTGCTTTGAATTCTTTATCTGGTTAATTATTTCTGTTTCATTATTTTTTCAGGAGCTTTCTTTTGCTCTTTCAGTTGAGACCAATCCCTCCAATCCCACTTTTTCTTTCTTTCTTTCTTTTTTTTGGCTGCGCCACATGGCATGTGGGATCTTAGTTCCCTGACCAGGATCTAACCCATGACCCCTGCAGTGGAAGCATGGAGTCTTAACCACTGGACTGCCAGGGAAGTCCCTCTGACTTTTCATTTTGCTTAACTTTCTCTGCCTCTGTAAACTTAGATGAAAGTTACCTATTGCAGTCCTAAAGGGATGTTCTTATGTGGGAGTGTCCCTATACAGACTGCAGGTGCCCAGTGCCTTTGGTGGGAGAGCTGGATTTGTTGTGGACACAATCACATCTTTCCTCAGTGTGCGCTGGCAGCTATCACTTTGGTGGGAGGTGGGGCTGGAGATGGAGGGGCTAGAGCTGGAGCTAGGAGTGAGGTGGGACTTCTCTGCTTAGTAGCTGTCACTGCCCTATTGGGGGCAGGGTCTGATTCCAAGTTGTTGGAGCAGAAGTCCTGAGGGTCAGGCCCAAGCTGGCTCTGTTTTCTTTAGGTGTGTGCTTTCCCCTCTCCCAGCACCAGGCCCCTTGCCCCAGGTCGGGGGCGCTGAAGCAAGAGGGGGGGGGGCCTGCATGGGCGCTCAGCCCATGTCAGCTATAGACAGAGGTCTGAGCTGTCTCCAATGTGCTGCCCAGGCAGACACCAGCAGTTGCTTCCCTTGCTCTGTTCAGATGCAGCCCTGAGTGCTGGCAAAGTTCATCTTACTCTTTCCAATGCATTCAAACTTTCTTTTTACTGCTTCAACAGAGTGCTGGAATCTCTCCTCAGGAAACCTGGACTTCTAAAAGGCTCTCTCATCTGTGGGTGTCTGCTCAAATCAGCAGTCTCCAGGTTTACCTTAATTGCAGCCAAGAGGGACTAGGGCTGGTTCACAGACTCCTGCTTGTTTAACAGCCCATACCAAGGACTGTCCCCTATTACTTGATACACAGGTTGTTGAGACTCCTCCCAGGTCCATTGGTATACAGTGTTGGATCCCACAACACCCACAGAGGCAAGTTGTGGATGTATGCCAAGTTTTAGTTGTTAAGAGGGGATGTGTGTGCAAAATTGATGGGCATCTTATGCCACCATGAGGCTGATGTTATTCTTCAGTGTTCAGATGTTTATGAAGGATCTATTCTATTTTTTAAGTTTTAGAAGCATTAAGTTTCATGAGGTATTTTTCCTTCTTACAGTTTACAGTCTTTATTTTTCTTTAAGATGAATTATTCCTTGTTCAATAAGGAATAAATGTTAATCAAACTTTTCCTATATTCACTTACATAGATGTCTTTTTTCCATGATAATGTCTTTGATGTTGAATAAGGTATAGATCACAGTTAAAAGTTTTTCCATAAATAACAAAGACTGAGAAGATAACAATGATGATGGCTAAACTAACCAAGTATTTATTATGTGATGGGCACAACTGTAGAATCCCCATAACCAACCTCTGAAGTACACTAATTAGGCCCACATTACCATAAACACATCATATATGCATACAAAAGGATCTGGAAGAATAAGTAAGTTGGTTATGTTGGGGAAGTAACTAAGGTCGGGATGTTAGTCAAAGGGAAGTACAATTTTACCTATAATGTATAAATCAGTAAAAGCAGAAGAGAGCCACATATTATCTCTAAAATGGACAACAAATAAATAAAGCAGACACATTCAAAAGGGGCCAACAAGGTAACTCTTTATAATGGCAAAAATTTCAGTATTTGACAAAATGGGTGTTTGATAAAAACAGGTAAATACTTTTAAGCCAATGGAATAGTAACAATATATTCACAGACAAAGAATATTAAAGGCTGGTTATAGCATAATCACACTTTCTCTCAAAATCAATGCCAAATGTAATCTTACAGGATTTGCTCCAAAAATTTGACAGTGATTGTCTATGACTGGTAAGATTACAGATAACTGTAGCTACTTTTTTTTTACTCATATCTACATTTTTATGGAGGAAAATTGTTCTGCAAAAAGAATAGTATAAGTTTCTAAAGGGAAAATAAAACAATCTTCCAAAAGGTACATATCCATAAGATACTAAAGGATATGTAAAAGTAACAGTAACTTAACACAAACAGGGTGACACACAGATACATAGACAGATATGCAAATTTTTAAAACAAAGACTGACCTGATATCGAAGCTTTATATGTATAAAAATAAACTTACCATCAAACATGCAATAAAAATATATAAAAATAGATATGGTTATTAAATAAATGGTGTTAGTATGAGAAATGGGGGAGGGGAAAAAGGGTAAATTAGACCCTCAATAATTTAAAATAATTTTAAAATGCATCAGTAATTCTGTATACTTCACAAAAAATTAAGAACATTAAAAAGAAAGTAGCAGGGTTAGCCCCCAAATAAATTTTGATGCTTAAAATAAATGCAATATACAATAAAAAGGTTTTTCAACTTATAATATTCACAAGTATGAATTTTCTGAAAGTAATGAATTTAGATAAAAATATTCAAATATTTTATTCAGAGTGTTTATTTTCTGTATGAATTTTCTCAGACTAACTAACTGGTAAAGTATAAGTATATGTATCTTAATTACATTTGTAGGGACTCTCACTAGTATGAATTCTCTTTATTGTGTGGTTCCTTAATTATGTAGTTCCAGTTTATAGAGTTTCTCATTCACAGAGCTTCTTACCAGCATGACTTTTCTTATGTTGCTGAATTTCTGAACCCCTCTCCAAAGCCTTCCCACAGCCCTTACATTCATAAAGTTTCTCACCAATATGTATTCTCTGATGTTGAGTACGGCTCAAGCCAGTACCAAAAGTCTTCCCACATTCCTTACATTCATAGGGTTTCTGACCAGTGTGTATCCTCTGGTGCCGATTAAGGGCTGAACCACTACTAAAGGACTTTCTACATTCTTTACATTCATAGGGTTTTTCACCTGTGTGAATTAGCTGGTGTTGAATAAGTTTTGAGCCACTAGCAAAAGCCTTCCCACATTCCTTACATTCATAGGGTTTCTCACCAGTATGAATTCTCTGATGTTGAGTGAGGTCTGAACCACTACTAAAGGCCTTCCCACATTCCTTACACTCATAGGGTTTCTCACCAGTGTGCATTCTTTGATGTTGAATAAGTTTTGAACCACTTCTAAAGGCTTTCTCACATTCCTTACACTCATAGGGTTTCTCACCAGTGTGAATTCTCTGATGTTGAGTGAGATCCGAGCCACTATTGAAAGCCTTCCCACATTCCTTACACACATAAGGTTTCTCACCGGTATGAATTCTTTGATGTCGAGTAAGGGCTGATCCAAAACTAAAAGCCTTCCCACATTTGTTACATATATATGGTTTCTCACCAGTATGAATTCTTTGATGCCGCGTAAGAGCTGAACCACTACTAAAGGCCATTCCACATGCTTTACATTCATAAGGTTTCTCACCAGTATGAATTCTTCGATGCTGAGTAAGGTTTGAACCACTGCCAAAGGCTTTCCCACAATCCTTACATTCATAAGGTTTCTCACCTGTGTGAATTCTGTGATGCCGAGTAAGGGCTGATTCAAAACTAAAGGACTTCCCACATTCCTTACACTCATAAGGCTTTTCACCACTGTGAATTATCTGATGTCGAATAAGGCCTGATCCAAAACTAAAGGCTTTCCCGCATTCCTTACATTCATATGGTTTCTCACCAGTGTGAATTCGCTGATGGTGAGTAAGGTTTGAGCCACTACCAAAGGCCTTCCCACATTCATTACATTCATAAGGTTTTTCACCCGTATGAATTCTTTGATGGTAAGCAAGGTTTGCACCACTACCAAAGGCCTTGCCACATTCTTTACATTCATAAGGTTTCTCACCAGTATGAATTCGCTGATGTCGAATAAGGACTGATACAAAACTAAAATCCTTCCCACATTCCTTACATTCAAGGAGTTTCTCATCAGTATGAATTTTCTGATGCTGGATATTGAAAGTGGGTATGTCTTCAGGAGTAAATATCATTTGACTGAAATGTCCTTCCTGAGATTCCTGTTTTCTCTCAAACTGGCTTTTACATTCCCAATCACCTCTGAAACTTGAACACTCAATGCTGTTTTTTATAAGTCTTTCCATTATCTCCCATCAGGATGATTCTATTCCATAAATATCCTTTTTCAGAAATAATTCTTGGTCTCAACATTGATTCACAGTCTGAAAGAAAATATAAAAACATTCACTTTTTTTGTGTTCTGGGAGAAATGAAACTTTTATAATAGATAGGAAAAGACTTAACTGAAACTCATTTTCATATAGAGTGGCTTATACAGTTCTCATATATGATTGGGCATTTTGACAAACAGATAAGGAAACAGAATGAGAAGAAACACTAGAAGGTGAAGGAGTTATTTAGGAAAATAGATTAAGTCAATTGTTCCTAAATAGTGATTTAGATAAAAATACCCTAAAGACATGGGGAGCTCAATAAATATAAAGATGTCCAGGCCCCAACTCAATTTTGTTAACTAGTGTCATATACATTTAAAAATGAGTATAATTATCATTTAACCCATTTCTTAGGGTTGTTTGGAGCTTTAAGTAACTACACCAGCACGGAAAAATCTAGGCTAGATGGTCATAAATTGCATATAATCTGATGGAGATAGAAGAGAAAGTTACTTCAGATGTAGCAGTATCTTGATGAAAGATTAATGAGGGGCTTCCCTGGTGGCACAGTGGTTGAGAGTCCACCTGCTGATGCAGGGGACACAGGTTCGTGCCCCAGTCTGGGAAGATCCCACATGCCGCAGAGCGGCTAGGCCCATAAGCCATGGCCGCTGAGCCTGCGCGTCCGGAGCCTGTGCTCCACAACGGGAGAGGCCACAAGCGTGAGAGGCCCACGTACCACACACACACAAAAAATATATATAGATAGATAGATAAATAGATATCTATATCTATCTATCTATATATATTAATGAACTGAGTAAGTCTGGAATGAGCAATAGAGAGTGAAGATTCTGTTGTGGTTAGAATATAGTTTGTTTATGCCATTTGGTAAAATCCAAAGTCTTGAGGCTAACCTTGGGAGAACCTTGGGAGAACAAAAAAGGGGACTTAGCAAAGGCCAAAAGCAGAGTAATTGAGAATGTAGTTTTAAAATCAGAGAAAAGGGACAAGAAGATAGGAGGTAATGTGATACTTCTGGAAAATTACAAGGAGGATGCAGATAGATGAGTACTCTGAACCCCAGCTCTGATGATTATTGAAATAATTCTGAAATCACATTAATGTATTGATATTTACACCGTTGTATAAAGTAACGCCACAGTGTTTGGTAGCTATTATTTTGGAAGGCTTATATGCCATAAAAGTGACCAGGAAAATAAAAGGATTCAGAGACATCAATTAAGACCCTGAACAAATAAATAACTCAAGCCACAAAAGGTGAAAACATTTCAGCTCCATTCTCTTCCTATAATACTCAAACAGCAAGCTTGTTTAGGCTCAGCCTAAAAATGTCTTGAAATTGTTCTTTCCATTCCCACTGTCAGTAGATAATTCTAGTCAAAATTATCTTTTACTTGGATATGAAAGCAGTATTTTATCTAGCTGCTTGCATTTCCAGTTTTGCACCCTTAACAGCCAGAGTGATATTCATTCAGTCTGGCACTGTTCTGCTCAGAATGCTTCAATGGTTTCCCACTGTCCCTCGGATAAGATCCACACTCCTTAACTTGGTCTTTAAAATTCCTCAGAGACCTGCCTACTGCCTGCCTCTTCAAGATGATACCTCTCTCCTATCAGCAATAAGCCATAGTTACACTGGCCTTACTTCGTTCTTCAAATGCACTAAACTGTAACATGCCCCTCCCCCAACAATTTAATCTGCTTGAAATATTCTTCCATACCTCCCTTCCCACTGCCCCCACTCTTCACCTGCAAGTTCCTGGTCATTGTTCAGATCTCTGCTAACTAGCATACCCTAATAAATATCTTTTCTGAATACTCAGTCTTAATTTTGCACATCTCGCCATTATTTCTCAAAGCACTTTTTTAATTTTTCTTTTTTTGTTCCTGTCTTTGTGTTTAGTGTTTGGTAATGAATGATTACACATTTATCCCCTACAATTGAAAATTTTCTATATTTTTTAAAGCCTTTATTGAATTTGTTACAATATTGCTTCTGTTTTAGTTTTGGTTTTTTGTCCCCAAGGCACGTGGGATCTTAACTCCCCGACCAGGGATCAAACCGCAACCCCTGTATGGGAAGGTGAAGTCTTAACCACTGGACCGCCAGGAAGTTCCCAGCAAATTTCATATTTTTTTGAATGTTTGCTTAATGTCTGTCTGCTACCACAGAGCCAAGATTGAGGAAGGCAAGGGTAATGTCTGTTACTTTAGTCAGCTTGAACCCTGGCACACACAAAAAGATCAAAATACATTTACTGAATGGCTAATATAATAAATTAGTCTCAAAATTCATAATTCTTAAAAATAAACTTCTAAAAACAATATTTCTCTAGAAAAGGATATACTTTCTCTCAAACAGTGAAAGTGAATCACATGTGGTTATTCCTGTCCTTCAAAAAAATCTCACTAAAAGGAATGAACTGGTTTTTTAACAAAAGGAACCCACAAAGTCAAAGAAAATTGAAGAGGAAATAGCAACAAAACTTTTGAAGCTGGAAAGCATGAAGAGAAATGACGAACAACTTAACAAAGAAAGATGAAACCTAACCCAAAAGTAAGGAAAACCCAGAAGGGGATGATTTATGCTGCAAACCCCAGAAAGGCTTAAGAAATGGGAGCATTACATACTTAAGAAGGTCTACTAACTGGCATACAAAAAGTTAAATCAGCTTCTCAGTGTCCACTCTATAATACTGGTACTCTATAATACTGATACAAATATCATCATTTGAGGAAATCCTATAACATAAAAGAGATTAAACAAAGCCCAAAGGAACTTAGAAGAGAAACCACATAGGAAAACAAAATTCCAGAAGCCACCACTAATATCTTCAGAGGGATATGAGAAGCCATTTCACATGATAAAAGCATAGGATAACATAAAAGGAATAAGAGGCAAAAAAGAATACTTAGAAAATGAAAATATAAAGTGGGAATAAAAACATATCATTAGAAGAGTTAAAGGATAAATGAAAAATCTCTTTAAAGAGTACAAAAATATGGAAATAGAAAATGTATAACACAGGGAAGTATATTCCTATATAACCTATAATGGAAAATAATCTGAAATATATACATATGTGTGTGTATATATATATAAATATATATAACTGAATCACTTTGCTGTACACCTGAAACTATCACAATATTATAAATCAACTATACTTCAATTAAAAAAAGAACAGAAAATAGGAAAGACATTGGAAGGTCATGCAAGCCAGGTCAACATCTAATGGGAGATCATTCTTGAAAGTGTGCTAAGCATCTGCCAAGTATCAGGCAGGAGTTAGAAGGAATGAAGGAATCTGAAAATTGCCATTTTGAAATCACCAATCTAATAATTGATTCAGGCAAGGATTCTCAATGGATTCTAAAATCAGAAAGTGAATGGTCAAGATAACAGATATTCACTTAGTCTCTTAGCATCAATCCACATATGATTTACTAATTAAAAAGGGAAACATGTACCTTTATACTGGAAAGGTTTGGTACTCAGTACCATCATTTAACCTTAAATGATGAAACTTGGTATCATCAACAGTGGAACAACCTGACACTCTGCCTTCTGATGTAATGCAATAGAATACACCATACTACCTTTGTCAAAATAGGTAAGCTGAATCTAAGCCTCCTATTTCCATAAGAAAACCATCAGACAAATGGAGGTTGTGAGACATTCTATAAGGCAACTGTCTTGAATTCAGTGTCATATAAAACAAACAAAAATGAGAGGCTGTTCTAGATTAAAAGAGACCAATGAAGCCCAACAACCAAAATAATACATGAATCCTGATTGGATCTGAGATCAAGCAAACAAACAACCAAGTAAATAAACAAAAACATAACATAAGCTAAAAAAAGACATTTGGGGGAACCACTGGAGAGATTTGAACATGAAATGTTTGAGGTGGTACTAGTGAGTTTATATTAATTTTCAAAGATCTGATATGTCATTGTTATTGTTTGGAAAATGTCCTTATACTTAGGAGATGCACGCTAAAAGTATTAAGGGTAAAATGTCAGGATGTCCCCAACTTATTTTCAAATGATTCAGGGGAAAAAAATGGACACGCATGCACACGCACGCGTGTGTGTGTATTTAGAAAAATAAAGCAAATGTGGTAAGATGTTAACAATTGGTGATTTTAGCTGATGGCTATATGGGGCAAAGAACTGAATATTATTTCTAATTTTCTGTATGTTGGAAAACTTTGAAAGAAAACAGAAACAGATTGTTTTTAAAAGTAGCATTTAAGAAGATTTTCCAGAACTGAAGGACACAAATCTCCACATTAAATGGGCTTGCTTGGTACCTAGTATAAAAAATAAAAATTATTCACACTAAGATATAATTTCATTAGGTTCCAGGACAGTAGGAACAAGGAAAATACCCTAAAAGAATCCAAACAGTAAAAACACAGTGCATAAATAAAAGACCAGGAACGAAAATAGTTTTGGAGTTCTCAAAAATATTCTAAGCCAGAAGTCCTAAGTTCAAATTTCTGAGAGAAAATAATAATTAGAATCCCATGCCCTGCCAAAGAACCAATGCACTGGTTGAAACAGCCCTTTCAGATATGCTAGAACTCACAACAAATTTAACACATTTATCTCTTCTTACATACCATCTACATCAAAAACCCATTTTGATATCTGGAGTTTTGTTGGAGTAAACCAAGAAACAGGAAGGAAATAAATAGGAATTCATAGTCTTGCCATGATTTCCATGTGAAAGGTAGAGACTTGATTGGGAAAGAATAATATCCTTAAATATGGAACTGGGACATCTGGTTGGGACCCAGATGAAACTGACAATCTTTAACCTCCAACTTGCTTTGGGCCTCTCTTACCAGTGGAGGAAGCTTGCAATCCAGTGTCTGGGAGACTAACTTTCCTCTGACTGAAAACCCTATAATAACATCACCTGGAGCAGTACCTGAAAAGGCATGCTAATTCTCCTCATGACCCACCAGAACCATTCTGTTGCCACTAGACCTGTAACAAGGGTCCAACCTCAGCAT